GCGGTCTTTTTTATTTGAAAACCTAGGCTGGAATGCATCTATTTGTCTCTCTATATGTTTATAACTGAACAAATGCTGGTACTGCCGAAGTTTAGGCTTGTCAGCTATCACATTATCACATACATCCGATGGGTGTGCTGGTAAAATCGTTGATTTTGATTGATAAAAGGAAATTTGATGATGCAATATCGGAGCTACGCGATGCGCTTGTTCTTAACCCATCCAATTATGATCTCTACGAAGCCCTGGTTCAGGCGTTTCTTCTTCAAAATAAACTGCAAGAGGTTGATTTTTAAGCATTCTTTCATTTGTACGTTTGCAAAATATGCCAATGTGGCGTTGTCTAAATGTGTATGTGTGTGTGTGTGTGTGCATGCGCGTGTGTGTATGTGTCGTCACGCATTCCTAATTTTGTGGAAAGTTTGTGGAAATTAATGTTTTGAGAACACCGCCTTGTAGCGGTTCGAGATTTTAATGTCAGCTTTCTGATTTCGGAGTTACGACTTCAGGCGTGTTAGGGCTTGAAAATGCGCACTTGCAGCATTCATTTCGTGCGCTGTATTGTTTAATAACGAATATTAATTGAATATGAAGTGTAATTATTATGATAGTAATAATAATGGTAATAATAATAGTAATGGTAGTAATAATGATAATAATAATGGTGTTGATAATAATAACGGTGGTAATAATAATGACAGTAGTGATAATAATGATAACAATAATAATGACAATAGTAATAATAATGGTAACAATAACGATAACAATAATGATAATAATAATGGTGTTAATAATAACAACAATAATAATAATGATGATAATAATAATGATAATAATGATAATAACAATAAGCCTGATGGTCAGCATGCTGGCAGTCCTGACAGATGTTCCGTTTTTAACTCGGTAATTCTTCGGACTGAGGCACTTGGCCGTCTTGAGATTTCTTTAGTACATGTTAAATGCCATTGTTTTGTTCTAGGCCTTATTGTTTCCGGATCACAGTGAGGTATCTTACCGTCAAGAAATTTGTTGTTACTGCCTTTGGAAAACTGTTGTAATAAAAAATCGGAAATCTTATATTTGCTTAGCTCAGATTTATGTTCAACAGTCATCAGAAATTTATGCTTTTTTTTCAGGCACGACTTGTTGCTTCTGCATGTCGCCATCATTTGGGTTCGGAAAATCCCCGAGCATTGTATCTCTGTGCAACACTTGCAGCAAAAGATGAATCAACTGTTAAGGATGCCGAAAAACTTTTAGAAAAGGTTTTTTTTTGCCTTACAAATTTTTTAGTACTTATGATTTCGACAACCAGCAATAAGATTAGAATTTTTTGCATATTTTACTCATCGAGGGAGGGAATACATTCACAGAAAGCCAGATTTTTGTCAACAGCAAACTATCAACCGCTTAGCCGAATTATCGATAGTTCTTTCTTCCTTGAGATTGCCTATTGCGATTCCGGATTTTTGGCATGCTTTGATAACAATTTACCAACGGATCAATCCCAACATGAATGAGCAAAATTTTTTGTATATTTTATCAGGTGCTGGTAAATTTATATTTTGAAAAAGTTCGGTTATTTTTAGGCCTTTTCAACTCAACTACTACCGCCCGCGCTTTCCCCGTGCCCCCCTCCCCACTCTGTAAAAGCCGTAGAAGTAGGTGAGATATATGACCCCCTGGCATTAGCTGAAGGTATCAGTGATCTTTATGTTTTGCTCTGTTGTGGTGTGCGTGTGGTATTCAGTAGAAGTTGTGAGTAAGGTTGAGGGAACGGCCAGTGCACCTCCCTGAGTGCACAGTGTGTGCACAGTACCCCATCTATCGATTGCTCCTCGGCACCGTGTGCGCCGCACTCGTGCTGCTGCTTCCTTTTACAATTGTTTGTTACATTTTATTGGTGCTGTAATTAAATCCTTATTCCCAATCTATACTCCAATGAACACAACAGCAGTTGCAGGAGAACTTAAATCGAGTAGAAATTAGCTGAAAATATTTGCAAAGAAATTTGAAAAAAAAACGTCGGAATTTAGTTCTTTTGAAAACTGAAAAATGATACAAAAAAGCCTAAAAAGAAAATTTTTGCAGGCAATTGCATTATCGCCTCATCTACTGGATGCAGTATTTGTGCTTGTCAATTTATATGATAAAACACAGAAATATGACAAAGCGATTGCATTGCTGAAGAAACAAACGGAGGTTTACTGTTTAAAAAATGCAAAAATCAAACAAGAAAAATACATTTTGAAATCTAAAATATCAGAATCAGTTGTTGTGGAACATCCCCTTAAAATTACAGCCTTCTAGCTGCAGTAGTATGGTATTTCAACTATTCGAGCTCTGCAATTTTTGACTATAATTTCGTATTACGAAAAAATTTCTTGAAAAAAAAAAAAACTCGAAATTTTTTGTATGTGCTTTTTTTTTGTTTCTGTATTTAGACAACAGTGAATAGCCGTTTGCATCATTTGCTTGGCGATTTTCTGACGAAAATGAATCGACCAATTGATGCATGTCATCAGTACAGGTTGGAATCCTTAGTTACCTGGAAATTGGTGTTTGAATTATATCGATTGTGTCGTTAGTGTAATCATTATATCGTCTCATCATTCTTAATAATAATTACTATCCATTTCAGTTTCTTTCAAATTCCTTGCCTCGATTTTCCAGCCATTTTTCTTTTTTTTCTTTTTCCTTGGGAGGGGCGGGGGAAGGGGGGAGAGGGGAGGAGAAGGAGAAGGAGATAGAAAAAAGAGGTGATGAGTGGATGAAAGACATTTTGGTGCTCTCTGGCACGAACGGAATCTTTTTTGCAAAAATGTAGACCTGAAGGGAATGGAGCACCTCATTTTTTTCACTCTCAAGAGACCCCGTGAAAGGCGTTGGTTGGTACAGACAGCAGGGCGATGGCCGCCGGAAGTTGGAAGCCGCTAAAGAATGCGCAGCAACTCACCTGCCAAATCAGCTAGCCCTGAAAATGGATGACGCTTGAGCGGAAGAAGACTTATACTAAACCGTTGCTCGGCTTATACTCGTTTAAAAGAGCCAAAAAAAGCCCTTGGCTGCAGTGAGTAAGAGGTGTCGCTACAAGCAGCAAATTGTTATTGTGTCGTTTGGGGTCAACACAAGCCATCGCTGACCTTGTATTGACGCCATCGCTAACCTTGTGTTGACCCTTGCTGGTCTCCCGACGGTAGGCTGTTGACCTTTGCTGGTGTCCTCAACCGCCGAAGGCCAACTTTATCTTATTAATGCTTGTTAGCAGGATTTCATTGGCCGAGGGAGGAGGGACAGACCATGGGCGGGATTCTTCCCAAAGCGGAAGAAGCGCACAATCGTCTTTTTGAGCATTCGAAAACATTGTGTGGAAGCTGAGCGGTCGACTCAGCTTGTTATCGTCGACTAAACGCTTCAAGTGCTGCCCTTCGTCCCTTCGCCTAATACACCAATTGTCATCTGCCCATATCGTAAATGCGTGCCGCTACAAGAGGATCGCAGTGGTTTGCTTTGAAAGCTTTGGGCCTAGTACCTCATTTTCACTAGCATCTCCAGATCTTTCGAATTGTGCCATATTTAAAACCATTACACTGCCGGTTACTGCGCTCCAGTTCTAAAAATTGGAGTACTTTTTTGTTTTTTTCTGTACTTTGTTCTGCCTAACTGCCGCCACTAGCACCATATGCTTTTTACCCTTTTCTCCGGTCTTTTTTTGTGGATTTCCTTTCCCAAGGGTGTATTTTTTTTTAGATTTCCTTTTCCAAGGGCGTATTTTTTTGCGGTTTTTTGTGATAACGCTCCTAACCCTCCCATTTTGCTAAAGCTCAATTTTGATGTAAATGCCTTACGCGTTTATTTCATTGTAACATTTTTGAAAAAAATTTTTCAGCAATCTAACATTTATTCAATTTTTGCTGTAATTTGTCACTACTACTACTGCACTGAATTTGCTCCTAATAATTTTTGTGGCTAAATTTCTTTTTTTTTTTTACTTTATTGGTATAAAAATTTGCATTTTTTTTAACTTTATTTTACACTGCTCCAGCTTGCTTTGCCTTTTTTGCAATGCATAACATATTTTCTTGCACTTTTTCTCACGCCAAAAACTTTTATGCCTCTATTTTTCCAAATTTCCGCGTGTTCCGGAACACGATGGGGACCGATTTTTTTCCTGTTTTTTTCTCTTGTTTTTTTTCGACATTTTTTAAAAATTTCCTCTTTTTTGGGACACGATTGAAACCAGTCTGTTTCCTGTTTTTCCTTTCCATACCTTTTTTTCGCCATTTTTTTGTAAAAGTTTCCTCTCTTCTGGATCACGGTAACCGATTCGTTTCCTGTTTTTTTCTCTTTGTGTTTTTTTTTTTCGACATTTTTTAAAAATTTCCTCGTTTCTGAAACACGATGGTAACCGGTCTGTTTCCTGTTTTCCTCTCCATACCTTTTTTTGGCATTTTTTGTAAAAATTCCCCATTTTCTGGAGCACGATAGTAACGGGATTGTTTCCTGTTTTTCTTTATGTCTTTTTTGGCATTTTTTGTAAAATTACCAAAAATTAGAAAAAAAGAAGAGTGCAGTATGCGACAAATCAAGGCTGCAGTGAAATCAACGGAAAGGAGATGAAGCGACAAGTCAGGAAAATGGAAGGGATTCTGACAGTGGACATTGACTAGGATTTAAAATGCCTTGTTGATAATCTTCCTTAATATATACAACTGAGTTTAGTACGCTGAGCCTCGTTATACAGCGTTTTAAAGATCCCGAAGAAATGTAAAAAAAAAATATAAAATCCAACCAGGAAGTTCTTTCCGATTTTTACATACAACAGATGGGATTTGAAGAAAGGCCTTACAAGTTACAGTTGCAAAAAAGGTGGACTTCTTTGATGGTTAAAAAAAAGACAGAATTCGAAGTGATAGAAAGAATAGTTGTAATACGATTCGATCATATCTACCTGTACCTGTAGTAACGGAAACTGACCACTGGTCACTAATCAATCGAATGATCAGAAAGTTTTCATGTGAAAAATTCAACACAAATCTGTTCGCATCACAGCGCCGACATCTTAGTATACTAGAAAATCCTTAGTGTATGAGATTCTCGTATTGCCCAGATCTTCCAGAAGCCTTTTTTTCCACTGTTTTTTCCCGCTTTTTGAAATCCTGAAACGAATTATTTTACTTATATCCCTATTTAAAGGGATGATGTCCACGGATTACACTGATTCTTTGCAGGGTTGCAGTCGAGGATGATCCGAGTGCGCTGCCGGCAATGAATTCGCTGGAATCATTGCCCGGTATGAGTACACCGGAAAATGTTATTCCCGTTCCTTGCCCCGGAGCACCGCGACGC